ATATATATATATATATTGAAGTTAGTTCTCTTTCTAAATAATAGTACTTGATCATCGATTGCTTTCCTTCTATATTAGTAATTTTTGGCATTTTTCGTCATTCATTGAAAATGGTCATTATTTTTGTCTCCAGTAACCTCTTCAATGGAATTTGTTTTCACGAAGGATTAGTGTAATTCAAAGCATCAATCCAAATATCCTGATCTATGCCCTGCCATTAGTTACTAATTAAAGTTGGATAATTCTTTCTTTAATGCTGCATAATAATTATGAACAATTTTGTACAATAAAATATGTAGTTAATTATTTAGAAAGGAAACTCATGCAGTTATTTTTTTGGCAGTCGGCAATCTTGGGTATGCATTCCATAGTGAGCCGTCCAACGGTTGTGGGAGGAAATATTGTCCCAAGACCAATGATGTACGTTGCTCTAACGTATGACCATAGAATTATAGATGGAAGAGAGGCTGTGTTCTTCCTGCGACGCATCAAAGATATTGTGGAGGATCCTCGCAGGCTTCTGCTTGACATATGAAGTGAATCTCTGATTTTAATGGAGTAAATTAAATCTCAAAATTCAAATACCATAATGGGTACCCTTTTGTTTGGGTTTTGAATTGCGGCATCCCGTAATTTATAATCTGTAATGAGCAAACTCTTTAGGACCATATCTCAATTTCTGTTCGATATTAATTCAGTATGTTTGTGTTTTTTCTGCTCACTATCCTCTCATTTAATATGAAGAGGTTCACAGTTTTTGACTCGGAAATTGTATGAAACAACTATGAACTATTATGTAGGGAATGTCCCTGAAGCAATAATGCGATTTCTTTTCATGGCACTATGCTACAATATTTTTTCATATACATATCATCATTTGGTTTCCTGATTCAGATAGGATAGAGGGAAGTGGGGAAGGTATAATATGGCACACATGTAATCAAATAATTTTGGCATAAATACACTGCCGTAACTTTTTATTTTATTTTTTTTTTTATTTTATAGAATTTCTGTGCTAAGTGCTACATGTCACATAAAAATTAGTGTTTCTTAGCCTTTTTGGTTTTGAGCCACCCTAAAATATTACAATGAAACAAAGGACTGTTTATTTAAGAATTACTTGCTATCTCTTTGATGCTGGTGATGATAATTAATTTCCAGTGAGACTAGTGGGAGCTGCCTACCTGTCTACCCAGGTTCAAATTTGTAGAAGGCATGGGAGATCGAACTGGACCTCTGCTTTTGCTGGTAGTGCCGAGAGTTCTTACTTAATGGGTAAAGCTTTAAAAAATATAGCACAAATCTAACCAATGCATTGCTGATATTCTATGCAGTCACTGATAGGAATGTATATGATCAAACCGAGATTCCCGTACCAAGATGGAATCCATATTACTCTGTGTAAACTTATATAGTTGGGTTTAGCAAAAGCTAACATCCAATTTTAGCTTCGCTAATAATCAGTTGCATGTTTTCGGAACATAAATGGACTAATAATGACTCATTCCAGGGTCCTGTTTTGTGTTGTGACTATGTATTGGTCAAGCACTAAAAATTTGGGATTCGATACATGAGGTATGAGGTAAAATTGATATCCATGATAATGTTTATAATGGTTTCGATACTTTTTCCTACGTTCACTAATCGAACAAGAATTTTATTAATAAACGTACTAGGCAAGGAATAAATAAATAAATAATAGCGAGAACACTTGCTAAAAAGTAAAACAAATAAGTATTATTAGATGGTTTATTCTTTTTAAAGTTCTCGATAAATTAATGATTTTGTGTTCCCATAATTTTGAAATGCGGCAAGATTCCTCTCTAATGAATATGCGGTGGTGAGATTAAAATGAATGAAAAGTAAGAATGAAACCATTAATGAAATTTCTAGTCTTTACTATTCCAGCATCACGAGAACATTTTATCTACTTGTATACCAACTCGAGTTAAATCATATCAACTTTTAACAAGCCATTTTATTAAAGAGTTCTAAACAAATCTTCAGTTTGCTGAAGCCTTCACCTGCTATACATATATTCATTTCTGTTAATATTCTTATTTTCAAGAGCTTTATCAGATTTTGCAGAAAGGTGTTAATATATATTACATATAGTACACTTGCGAATAGCCTATGCTCGGTTAAATGTGCAAAAAATTCAGGGTTAAAAGTCTTTGGATAATCGAGGCAAGGCTATATATTCTGAAGAATGCAGAGGCAGGTAATTGAATTGGGAAGGTAGAGATCACTTGAACTTGCAAGCCATATTCACTTTTATTCTCATCAGATATGTTGCCATTGATTCCTCTTGCTAAAAGTTATTCTCTGCCTCATGCGATCTTGGAAAGGAAAGCATGGCATAATTCTTTGCTTAACCTCACAAGTCTCCAAGAACAGCTTATAAACACATGGTACTCAAGGTAAAAATAAAGAATTCATTTTTGATCCAGGCTCTCATCTTACCTCCACCACATAAATCAACATTCAAGCAGTTCTACAAAGATGATACAACTTTTATTCACACTTTTGATGATCCAAGTAGCATTCATCTTAATACTATCTTTTGCAAATCCAATACGAAAACTGGTGGTCAAGGGGCTGGACCTTTTGAAGCAGGGTAGGGGACCCTTAGTCACAAAAACTGTAGCAGCAACTATGCTCGTGGTCTTCGGCTCCACCATGTATACTATTACCAAAATCCAAAAGCGTTCAAAAGATGCTGGTATTGTTAATCCAACTGATGAGGTTCTGATGGCACATCGTCTCTTGGAAGCATCTCTCTTGGGTAATACCCGTATTTGCTTACAATATCCGTATTACGACTTTTCTGTCACACTAAAAATAGTAGTTACTCAAGCGACATTACCCGGCATGTATATATGTTAGCATCTATTTAGTTTCATATCTTCTCTGAAAGGTGACATTAAGGTTGAAGTCATAATTTTTTTTACTTGGAAGTTTACATAAAAATGTTGTTCTAGGCTTGACTCGTGGCAACCAGAATTGAGATATTCCACCAACAAAATATTGATTGTTTGAAGACGTGCTAACTTAATTTATCTTTAGCTTTTCTTTGTTATTACTCATGCTTGGACAATTCATGGGCACCCAATGAATTCTAGCAAGTATCGATGAATATACATTTCTCTTTAGCACTTCTGATATATTATATGCGGAACATATGAATTTTAAATCCTACAAAATGGTAATTGTTGGGCAGGATTCTCTCTATTCCTTGGATTGGTTATCGACAGACAACATTATTATATTAGAGAGATTAATTTACTGAGGAAGAACTTGGAAACAGCGAAGAAAAGAAGTCACGGTAATGAATCCTCAAGGAGAAGAGTGGCAGCAGAAACTGGGAAGCCAAAAGTCAAGTGAATGAAATGTGAGACGAAGTTCGCACATAACAAATGTCCTAAAAGGAGGCCATCAATGTCTTAAAGCTTGTAAATGATGAAGCATGTCCTTGTAAGAATGTGCCATGCTCATAATTGAATTGAACTGAATATACGTATATAATTGTTCTGATTGTGTCTGTAGTTCATATAAGTTATTTATTTCATTTTTATGTAAAAAATACTGAATGTAAAGAAAGTTTCAAATTTGAAGATGTGCACAGCATCATGATTCATGAATTACGAAAGCATAAGAAATTGGAATGTGAATATTTTCTATCAGCATAATGTTGTCTTTTATGTTCAATCTTCCTTTTAAAATTGAGAAAACTCATACTGGTCTAACAAATTCAGAAACATCCACCACAACCAGATGTAAAATCAGCAGTGTTTCTATTTTACATTCAGATTATAAGCTTTGGACCTTTTCTTGCTCCATAATTGAGCAAGCCAAACTCTGATTTTGCTTTATGGCGGCCCAACAACTGATTAACAATTGCGTTTCATCTAGTTTTAGCCATTTCACTTCTTTATATGACCTCATAGAGGATATCGTACGCAAGGATTTGTAAATTTATACAAGAAATATAAATTATCGATTGAAGTACTTTAAAACGTCTTAAGCTACTGATACTGCTAATTCAACCATTATCGGGAAACAATAACCAGGATGTTACTAGGTAATGTTGTTTCTCACATTACCTATATGTAACATTGACATGCTTTTCTACCAACATAGAAAGCATCAAAACCAACACACAACATCATATATAATTCATAGCAACATGTTCTTCGATTTGAAACAAAGAAACAGATGCACATAAAAACCTCAATTCTTATTTTATAAAATTATTACAACAGACACAAACTTCTATCCCGGGAGAAGTAACATTGAGACCCCATCCACAACTATTAATACCTAATCCATTGAAGGTTGCAGTCCGGGATAGTGAGGTTGGTTCCCCGGTGGCTGTGGTGACTTTTTCTATTGAGGCACCGGAGGCAAAAGAGGTGATGCTGACATTGGCTTATTAGGTTGTGACTTTGGAGGGTACATTGGTGATATTGACACTGGCTCAGGTTGTGGTGACTTTGGAGGGTATGGGGGTGATGGTGAGACTGGCTCAGGTTGTGGTGACTTTGGAGGGTATAAGGGTGATGGTGAGACTGGCCGAGGTTGTGGTGACTTTGGAGGGTATAGGGGTGATGGTGAGACTGGCTGAGGTTGTGGTGACTTTGGAGGGTATAGGGGTGATGGTGAGACTGGCTCAGGTTGTGGTGACTTTGGAGGGTATAGGGGTGATGGTGAGACTGGCTCAGGTTGTGGTGACTTTGGAGGGTATAGGGGTGATGGTGAGACTGGCTCAGGTTGTGGTGACTTTGGAGGGTATAGGGGTGATGGTGAGACTGGCTCAGGTTGTGGTGACTTTGGAGGGAACAATATTGGTGATACTGGCATTTGTGGTGAACTTGGAGGGTAGGGTGGTGATATTGGCTGAGGTTGCTGAAAGGTACACACTCCAAATATGCATAACCTCCCAAAGGGGCACGCTCTTCCACACCCACCACAGTTGAAAATGTTAAAATTTGTGTTTACGCACAAACGGTTGCAGCATTGCCTATTAAACAAGCACCTAATCCCACATAAACCACAGTTTTGTCTGTCTGAAGTCACATCCACACAACGGTTTCGACAGCATAGAGACCTTGGTGGAAACTCTCCTCTGTTGCATATAAATGGTCTTCCAGCACATCCAATGATTTGGTTCTCATCTTTCTTCACCAACCACGGTGAGGCACTAGTGCCATTTTCGTGCACTTCTTGTGGGGTTGAATTTGCCTCTATTTTGATCAGAAACAGCACCAACAACATGACAAGAGCTAAAGATTGTGCTAGTAGACCCATGTTTAGGAAGTGACGTGAAGAATGGGATTTTGATACCTATATATAGATAGGTTTATGTGAAAGTAACTTAACTTGCTTTTCTTACAAGCCAAAGGAGCATTTTTTCTTGCATGATCTTCTGTTTTGGGCTGTGGATGTTGTTTGTATGTATATTTCAGTTACATGCATATGCACCACAAGCAATGTTTTGTCATCTTTCTGTACTTTTGCATGACGAGTTTTAAAACTTTTGTGGTGATCGATCCTCAAAATAAGGTAGCGCAATAGCGTACGTGCGTGATTTGGGCAAGACATGATATACTTGGTGACTTGCTATTGATGATGGATCCAAAACCCTGAACTGTCACGTTGAAGGGAAGTGAGTTCACATAAAAATCGAACTATCTTTTAAAAAGATATGGTAACTGCCCAGGAAACTGGTCCATGATTTACGAGCCTCAATGCTTCAAGCTTACGCAGCCTCGTCGGTAGCCCATTGTATCACCTTGTTTTGCTCGTGATGTTCCACTCCCTAACGCAAGCATCCCAAATATGCCATATCGAAACGGCGGTTTTCTAAATGCCATAATATACAGTAAATAGTGGCGCTTTAATTAAACCGTCATTTTAAAACCAATAATTTTTTACGCAACTTTTGTAGTTTTCATCATAACACATCTTGCAAAGAAAATTATATGAAATTATTACACGTTTCTTAAATAGAAATGAAAACACTGAGTTAAGATTACAGGGATGGGCAAATATACCTCTACATGCGAGTAATACTTGAACTCATCCCAATTTTGACAGGGAATATCTGGTTTGATCAGGTACGAGTATGGGTACGGGTAAAACCCGATATATTAAATCGGGTAGGGTATAGGTACGGGTATGTACTTACTCGCTCTGTACCCGTACCCGTACTCGTCTCCGTTCTTATTTTTAATTGAATACTCACTTTCAATTTAATTATATTAAATAATTTTAATATTTTTTATGTGTGATTATTTATTATAATATGAGATAGAGAAATAATCTAATTATAATTATAATATAATAAAAAAATAATTTAAAAATATCTTTTTATAAAAAATAAAAAATAAAAAAATTAACAGGTACGGGTACGGGTATACCTAATACCCGACGGGGACGGGGATGAGGATGAAAATGACATACCCGATGAATACGGATACGGAGACGGGGATGAGTTTGACTCGTGGGGACGGGGACGGGTATCATGAAACTCGTACCCGCTCGTCCCGTTGCCATCCCTTGTTAAAAAGAATCGTCAAATATAAATTAAAAATACTAAAATATTTTAAATATTTTTTTATAACATTTCTTAAAGATTGAAATAATTCATTTTGATGGTGAAATTTGTAATTGATCTTGTGTCAAGTATGTTAGAGTCAACATGTCGAATAAAAAGGAATAAGATTTGTTTTTGGGTAGACTTGGATAATGGAATGATTGATTTTTAGTTAATTTAGAGAAACGAGTAATATTATATATATATATATATATAATATATATATATATATAATATTCATAATTGTTTATTGTTTAGTGCATTGTACTAGGAGATCAAATTCATAAAATTCCTTATTTGTAATAAACATGCAAATAAGTGTCTACCAGAAATTCATATATGAAATGTTTGGAATTGAATATTATACTCTTTAATAACCTTTAAATCTTACATACATTAATCACTCGTTTACTTTCTTATTTAGGATTTATTCCCTCAATATCTATTTCTTAATAAAGAAATTTAAGATTTCTTCAAAATCTAATTCTTTCTATATTCAAAAAAAAGAAACTTGCATTAACAAAAAAAATTTATATTGATGATATTTAAGATCTATTTTTAACAATTTGCATCATTAGGTGATTCATTTCAAATATTAATTTATATAACGTTTTTCGATCTAATTCTAAATCTAAATTTATATTACGAGCTTTCAATACATAAAAGCATTAAAACATACATAAATTAATAAGATGCAAAAGTGATCATCATATATATATATATAGAAGAGGGTTATAATAATACCGGTGTAATTTTTACTAAGTATTACACCCCTTAATAATTCTATATTAAATGTAAATTTTAAAAATTCAATTGTTAGATTGAAAGTTCTTTACTTTTAAATTATTTATACAAAATTTTATATTAATCCAAGAGATTTGATACTTCATTCTTATAAAATAAAATTATCGTAATATATTCATTTCAAAATATACTAAAATATGAACATTTTAATTACCTTCAAGTTATTGTTTAATTTTAACAAAATTTAATATACACATATAAAGTTATATGAACTTTCAATCCAACAGTTAAATTTACAAAATTCACATTTAATATAAAGTTATTAAGTAGTGTAATACTTGATAAAAATTACACCGGTATAATTATAATCCCCTCATGTATATATATATATATATGATAAGAGCCATATGATGTAACATAAGCTACATCCGATCCAAAAAAAAAAAAAAGGTCAACCACTTTTTTTCCTGAAACCCAACTCACAAAATGAAGAAGTAGAAGAAGAGTTTAGTAGAAATTTCGTTACTTCATTCCCTAATTGTCAGAATCGCCTTTAAAGCCTTCAAATTGGATGATCTTCATTTGGTGGAGTGAGAAAATGTGTTCAAATTGATCAAAGGGTCTAGAGAGAGAGTGGATTTTCTCTCTTTAACCTTTTACATGATCTGACTTTCAAAACAAGACAACCAAGCTGCCACATATTCGCCTTAGCTCCAATGAATTCGCTTAAGCGAATTTGGTCCAGAGAGACTCCTTTGTGCCCACCAATAAAATATTAATTGTTTGAAGAGGCTATATTTATGATTTTGAAGACGTGATAAACTTGGTGTATCTTTAGCTTAGACAATTCATGGGCACCGATTAAATTCTAGCAAGTATCGATGAATATAGATTTCTCTTTAGCACTTCTTATGATATATTATATGAAGATCACATGAATTTATATCCTACAAAATGGTAATTATTGGCAGGATTCTCTCTATTCCTAGGATTCATTATCGACAGACAACGTTATTATATTAGAGATATTAATTTACTGAGGAAGAGCTTGGAAACAGCGAAGAAAAGAAGTCACAAACTCACAGTAATGAATCCTCAAGGAGAAACGTGGCTGCAGAAACTGAGAAGCCAAAGGTCAAGTGAATGAAATCTGAGACAGAGTTTGCACATAACAAATGTCCTAAAAGGAGGTCATGAACTTTCTTAAAGCTTGAAGATGATGCATGCCCTTGTATGAATGTGCAATGCTCATAATTGAATTCAGCTGAATATACGTATATAATTGTTCTAATTGTGTCTGTTGTTCATATAAGTTATTTATTTTACTTTTATGTAAAAAATACTGATTGTAAAGAGATTTTCAAATTTGAAGATGTGCACAGCATCATGATTCATGAATTAGGAAAGCATAAGAAATTGGAATGTGAATATTTTCTTTCAGCATAATGTTGTCTTTTATGTTTAATCTTCCTTTTAAAATTGAGAAAACTCATACTGGTCTAACAAATTCAGAAACATCCACCACAACCAGATGTAAAATCAGCAGTGCTTCTATTTTACATTGAGATTGTAAGCTTGGACCTTTTCTTGCTCCATGCTCGTGCAAGCCAAACTCTGTTATTTCTTTATGGCGGCCCAATGACTGATTAACAATAGCGTGTCTTCTAGTTCTAGCCATTTCACTTCTTTATGACTCCGTAGAGGATATCATATGTAAGAATTTGTAAATTTATATAAGAAATATAAGTGATCGATTAAAGTACTTTAAAACGTCTTAAGCTAATAATACTACTAATTCAACCATTATCTGCCAACAATAACCAGGATGTTACTGGGTAATGTGCTTTCTCACATTTACTAAATGTAACATTGACATGATTTTCTACTAACATAAAAAGCATCAAACCCAACACAACATCATATAATTCATACCGACATCTTGAAACAGAAACAAACAGGTGCACAAAAAACATCAATACTTATAACAAAGACACAAACTTCAAACCCGGGATAGGTAATCATGAGACCCCTCATCCATCCACAAACTATTATTTCTTAATCCATTGCAGGTGGCAGTCAGGGATAGTGAGGTTTATTGTCGAGAGGCTGTGGTCACTTTTTCTCTTGAGGGATGGGAGGGTACCATGCTGACGGTGACAGCGGTCCATGTTGTGATGAATTTTTCTCTTGAAGCACGGGAGGATATCCTGGTGATACTGACAATGTTCTAGATTGAAATGACTTTTTTTCTTGAAGCACGGGAGGATATCCTGGTGATGCTGATAACGTCCTAGATTGCAGTGACTTTTTATCTTGAAGCACGGGAGGATATCCTGGTGATGCTGACAAAGTCCTAGATGCTGACAATGTTCTAGATTGAAGTGACTTTTTCTCTTGAAGCACGGGAGGATATCCTGGTGATACTGACAATGTTCTAGATTGAAATGACTTTTTCTCTTGAAGCACGGGAGGATATCCTGGTGATGCTGATAACGTCCTAGATTGCAGTGACTTTTTCTCTTGAAGCACGGGAGGATATCCTGGTGATGCTGATAACGTCCTAGATTGCAGTGACTTTTTATCTTGAAGCACGGGAGGATATCCTGGTGATGCTGACAAAGTCCTAGATGCTGACAATGTTCTAGATTGAAGTGACTTTTTCTCTTGAAGCACGGGAGGATATCCTGGTGATGCTGACAATATCCTAGATTGAAGTGACTTTTTTTCTTGAAGTCTAGGAGGATATCCTGGTGATAATGACAATGGTCCAGATTGCAGTGACTTTTTCTCCTTAAGCATGGAAAGATAGCCTTGTGATAGTGACCCTGGCTCATGTTGTGACTCTCCTCCGTTACATATCCATGGTCTGCCCGCACATCGAAGGATTCGGTTCTCGTCTTTTTTCATCAACGATGGTGAGGCACTAAGGCCATTTTCGTGCACTTCTTGTGGGGTTGAATTTCCCTCTATTTTGATCAGTAACAGCACCAACAACATGACAAGAGCTAAAGATTTTGCTGGTAGACCCATGTTGAGGAAGTGATGTGAAGAGTAGGATTTTGATACCTATATATAGATAGGTTTATGTGAAGGTAACTTAGAAAAGCAAGCCACAACGGGCATTTTTCTTGCGTGGTCTAGGGCGGTGGACGTTGACTTTTTGGATATTTCAGTTACACAGACCACATGTTTTTTTATTATGGGCAATTACCATTTTTGCATTCAAATATTAATTTAATTTTATGTATTTAATATTTTCTTAAAATTAAATTTGATCTTTTGGTATCATGTATCTCTTTAGACCATTACTTTATATTTATTATTAAAATATCTTTTTTATTCTTACAAAATTAAATATTTTTATCATATTAATACAAAAGAATAATATTACAAGATAAATTTAAAGATAGGGATTAAAAAATTAAAAAAAAATATATGTATGAATCTTGAATGTTAAGTCATTATGCTTGTATTAATCTTCTTTTTAAATAATGAGCTAGCTAATTTTTCGAAAAGAAAAAAAGAAAAAACTCTTAGATTGTGGCTTGTTAGATATAGTCAATTTAATAACCTCAAGATCAACTTTTTTGATGCACATTCTATTTACATAAACTGTGTTTAATTATATCTTTTTATTATTGAAATATTATATTAATCCAAACATTACAAGTGTTAGTCTACTAAAAGAACATGATAAATTACTAAATAATTTTAAAGGTATAAGATATGTAAATTTTTAGATTTACATCTAATGTCAAATAGTGTCAAATTAGTAAAATGACATTTTTAATAAATTTTTTTGAATGCAAATTAAACAATCTAACTGTTGTATTTGATGATATTATTAATCAATATAAAAAATTACAAATAATTATAAAACTATTTGGTGGTTCATCATTAAACCTTATTTTAACATATAAAATGATATTTAAAAACATGTAAATATCTATTATTAGATAACATAGTTAGAAGAGTAAAAAATTATTTAAAAATTGATATGTTAATTGTAACAACTTGGCAAATCACTTCACTTTATAGTTAGCAACTAAGTAGCAAAAAACATAATTCTAGTCACCTACAATTATCATTCAACAGTTCCTGGATACACATGCATGATGCAATATATATAAACAAAACCGGTGTAACTTTTACTAAGTATTACACCACCTAATAACTTTATATTAAATGTGAATCTTATAAATTCAATTGTTATATTGAAAGTTCTCTACTCTTGGATCATATATACAAAATTTTATATTAATTCAAAATGATTTAATACTTCATTTTTATAACTGTGCAGTGTGTAGTGACCAGCTGGATCGTTACACTTTAGTGGTATCAGAGCAGTTCGAGTCTAGTGGACACTCTTTGGGGGTGGTTCCTTTAGGCTTTTATTGTGTTGAGCTCTGTGTTGTGCTGTTTTGCTGTGTTGTTTGTTGTGCTGATTGCTGTGATGTTTTGTTGTATTGTTGATTGTTGTTTGGTTTAGTTATTGTATACTAAAGATGTTGTTACTTTTGTAGACAATAACTAGAACCAATGAGCAGATAGCCCGTGCCATGGAGATGATGGTTATGGCTATGCAGTAGCAAAATGCTTATTTTGCTAGGGCGGAGGTTGATAGAGCTGCAGCTAGTGCAACAAGGCCCACAGGGTCACAAGAGAGCCAGGATCTAGCTGAGTTCTGGAAATGCCATCCTCCACAGTTCAAGGGAGATGCAGATCCAGAGGTAGCTGACCACTGGATTTGTGAGTTGGAGAAAATCTTTACAGTGCTGGGATGTTCTCAAGAGAGGAGGCTGGCATATGCTGTGTACATGCTGGTTGGGGAGGCTGAGCATTGGTGGAGAGGTACCCATCACATACTGACCACCAGAGGGGTGGTTGTTGACTAGGAGTGCTTCAGGAGGATGTTCCTGGAGAAGTACTTCCCTGAGAGCGTGAGACACGCCAAGGAGGCTGAGTTTATGCGGTTACACTAGGGAGGGATGACAGTTTCTGAGTATGTGATGGGATTTGAGCACCTGGCTCGTTTTTATTCGCAAGATATAGCTGAGGCTTGGAAATGCAAGAAGTTTGCTGAGCGTTTGAAATATGAGCTAAAGAGGGTGGTGGTGCCTATGACCATCACTGAGTTTCCGGCCTTAGTGGAGAAGGCGAAGGTTGTTGAGCTTAAAATATATATATATATATATATATATATATATATTAAACTATGAGAATTAAAATATAAATATGTGAAACTATATAACTAAAATAGTATTTTAATAAAAAAATCATTATTTAAGTTTCTAGATCTATTGCACCAAATACAACGGTGTCACAGTGAAGAAATTATTATTTCAGGTAAAGGTGATAAAAATATTAATTCAACTTTATATATTTAATGTTAAATTTATTTTATTAAAATTATTATTATTGAAATATCATTTTTTACTCTTATAAAATTAAAAATATTTATTGTGTCAATAAAAAAAATAATATTACAAAAGAAATTAATGATAGAGATTAAAAATTAAAGAATTACAAATATATTAACTAAAAATGATCTATATTAAATTACAAGAAATAAAAAAGATTGAAAAAGATAAATATATGAATTAAAAAATCAATTTTAAATTATAAAAAGCTAAATTATAAGACATAAAAAAATATTTTAACTTTTTTTTTTCTTTTTTAATGTTCCGCTCCCTAATGCGAGTATGATCGAGTACTATCGGTTATGCTATTTTTTCAGTTTATTTTATTTTATTTTACTCACTGTTTCAGATTTACATTTTTTAATTAATTTTTTTTATTTTTATTTTTATTTATTTATTTTAGTTGTATATTAAACTATTTTATAAATTTTTAGAAAACTATTATAAATGATAAAGGTAAAATAGAATATGTTCTCCTCGATCTAAACATAATCAATTATGTACTTGAGCATAATTGTTTATGTTTCGTCCAAAGAGAACATAATATTTAATGTGTAGATAACATTATTGTATTATACAAAATTATATATTATTTATGTAATAACTTTGTAATACACATGTTAAATATTATTATATATAATTAAAATTTATAATAAATTATATTTAAATATTATATTTAAATATATAAATTATATTTTAAATTTGTATAAAATAA